CTGGAGAGTGCCAATGTGTCCTGAACAAACCTTGAGGATACCGTGTCTTGGAAGGTCGAAGTAGACCTCGAGTATCGTCTCTCTGAACATTGTTAATGCTGAGGGGTAACTGTTAAGACTGCCTCAGACCGAAGATAGCTTGCAACGGTGCGCGGCGAGTTAGACACCTGGTCATCTAAAGGGCTTATGCCCAAAGAAACGCCAGACGTGGCATCGTCCGCTGGTTCGATCTACATGACATCTGCTATACATGAAATACCGTGATGGGCTACTTTTGAGGCCATTTAATGCTTCATAGCAGCATAGATTAGTCGGTGACGATAAGTATTGCCCCAGTCAAGGGACATCATAATTCTAGCAATAGGCGGGAACCTGCCGGCCCCGTTGCCAGGTCCTGTTCTGACTGTTCAGTGGCCTCGACAGAAGACTCTGAGGAGCAGCGGACAGTCATGGGAAACCGACGAGGCCGTGCAGGAAGAAGAGGTGCGCGGTCATAAGAAAGCTTCTGCTGCGGAAAAGCGCACCTAGCGCTTGGGGTGGTTTGGGTTGGGCTGATTACACTATTATATGCGGTCACATGGTTTGATTTATCGAGTTCCAAGCTCACGATCATGGTCGAAAAGACAGCTCTCGATGTAAGCTCCAACCCTAGTTATTCGACGCCGCGTGCTGAGCATGGACGCCTTCGTTGCTCCTGGTTCATATGGTAACTCATAAGTGGCAGAAATCTCATTTATAGCCTTTCTTACAAGTATGACAGATTCGCCACAATATTCAAGGATATTGCTTCCCTGACAAGCAAATTCATGGAATACAAGGCGATGATATGGGTATGTGGTGTCTTCAGACGAGATAATGGCGTGCTGTGCCAGAACAACCCTGTTCTGCCAACCTGGGCTCCTAATAACAAAACAACACGGGTTGATCACTCAAGGCCAACTGCTTGGCTACCATGACCTGAGCTAGATACTGCAGTTAAGAACACTGAGACCTCATGGGACTTTGCAAAGATAATTGGTTTAATGGCTACTCTGTGCGGACAACGCATACATACCGACAATCCTCGGGCGTCTCAATTAGGGTTCAGTCAATCACCCTAAGACACTGGTTTTGGAGTTATATCTCCCTTAGCTATACTGGTCAGAGCTATATCCAGAACTGATATTTATGGCATACAACAGCTGCATGTCCTCACCACGAAGGATGAAAAGAGCACCTCGATCGACGAAAATGTGTCAAGCAATTTGCCATCATCGAACGCGCCATTTTACTGGTCGTCCAATGCCACTCTACGGACTTAGATGTAGAAATATCCTTGATATACACCGCGATTACCGAGAGAGACAGTATTAGGCCTTACTCAGGGGAAGGAGTTAAGCAGGCCCGGAAATACCTACTTCATCAAAGCTGCTTTTCCCATATCTTGCTTACTCTCCAGGACGTTCCATGTCCAGCGCTCGCATGCCGCTCCGCACTGCCTGGAAAATGAGGGAATATAACGACAACGCAGCATCCGTTGAAAGCAGGAGAACTTTCGACGCCATCTAGGGTATAGCTACGAATACCTAGTTTTGTGTACCGCGATGAATGGTTCTATGACTTGGTAATCAATAGCTCCCAGTCAAAGACGGCTTGAGTCTGCAACAATAACCAGGAGTCAGGGACTCAACCACGGGTTGCTATTATATCGTCTCGCACATAAGCTGTTGTTTTTATATTATTATGTCGCACTTATATCGAAGTCAAGAGTTTGCTACTACTAGCTTACAATTGGAATACCAGGTCCCGCCATCAAGTCAAAGAATTCCAATACCATTCAGAAACAAGACTGGCCAAGGAGATTGCAGCTTCGCAGTGCGATAACCCTGATTATATTCTAGGACTGGAAAATGCCAACGATAACAATCTCGGCACTCGTGATAGTTCAGGAGCTCAGGGCGCGACTAGAGGATTTAGACCCTACTGATATACAAGCTCAACAAGATCCATTTGAACTAGAGCCCAGAAGCAGCCCCAGCAGAATGTCGCCTTTATGTTCCGTGGCACCATTTTATAGCGAGAAATGGCCCTCTACTCGGTCCTGCTTCTCCCAGTTGTATCAGCGGTGACGAGGAAGAGATAATGTACAAACGGTTGAGCCTAGCTGCGAGTGCTTCCATCGTGACCCAGTTACAATGTTATCCAAAAGGGCAGACTCACCGCAGAGGAATATGTGCCAGTGTATCTGGTAGGGAAACCGGCAAAACGGGACACACTTGCCGGGGGATGTGCTATAGCGGTACGAACCATCCTGCATGCATGGAATTCTTGGAATCTCACCATTGAACCACAAAGCCTGGGAAGATTGCGCACAACTTACAAGACATAGAACAGAGCGCCTGACGATTGAAGAGTTATTGGATGGCAACTAAAGCCGGTATTGATCAAGCGATTTCAAAAATTGTCAACGATGTCCATCTATTCATAAAGCGTGAAGGCGTTCGCCAGACTGGCTCAACCTAAGAGATACAATAATACACCGGGCTGACAGAATAGTATACGTTAAGTACACCGGACCATGTCCGGGTACCGAATCCAAGGCCATGATAGCCGGAGAGGCAATAATATTAAAGCCATTTCAACATACGTCAGAAGGCGCTGAGATGGTCAAGAGCATTCTCGATGCTGCCTTCCAAACCATTGGCTGTCTGTTATGTCATCGGGGTCGCGCGAGCTTCTATTCAACTTGCAAACGGCAAGTTTAGCATAATGCCGCCCAAAGAGGGACAGGACACAGTGGTCAAAGCAAACATCCCAATACGTGAAGATTTTGCCTCGTATTCCTGGCAAGTAGGGCCAAAATCTCGAGTTCAGAAGCCCGAATGCAAGAGACCATCCGACATTTGAAAGCGCCTGGGCCATAGAAGATCAGGCAAATGATGGCGATTTGAATAAAGGGCTTTCTCAATGATTACTGGATACCATGCAAGCTACATGGATGCCAGGGATACGACACCGCTTAGCCTGATGACAATGGAAAGATACGATCCTTATGATTTTGACATTAGAGGAGACATAGAGAAGGGATGTGGAAAGAATTGACAAACAATTACATACTCTGGAGAGGAACATGGTAGCCTTTAAAAGATAAATAGATAAGAGAAGGATAATCTCGGTTCATCCACGAAATGGTTGAAACATTTCAGTGAAGTACATCCCGGAGTTGGAAAAACTACAAGTTTCGGTTCATTCAGGTGCACTTTCTTCCCTCCAGCCAGGCACCATAATCTCTATGGAAAGTAGGAATGATACTAGCCAAACAGCCAACCGCTGTATTCTGAGCATATGGCATCTAACGCAATCCAGCAAATACATATCTAAGCTACTTCTTTTCAGCAGAACGAATATACCAACGCAAACCATGACTACCTAACTACAGCCTATCCTGCCAAGCAGCCTTTTACACTCGGTGACTTGGTATCACCATTAGGATAACAATGTATCATCGCATTGACTGCATCGTGTCCATAGTATCCGCAACCAAAGAGCTAGGGCACGTCCACGTCCACGTTTACCGCTATATCGCCCATTTTCCGATTTGCAAACACCTTCTCTATCAGAGATTCAAAGAACAGAAAGACGGACTGTTTTCCCAGTTAATCACCAATACCTGACGTGGAACATTATTAGATGGTCTTCTCTGGGTTCAGGCACAGGCTGTTGATGTACTCAGCAAACATAGATTCTGATATGATATCCAGTTATTTGACCAGTCCAATCCCGACCGTGTCTGTGGACAATGAGAATAAAGAACCGCAGTCAGTTTTTCCCCAGACGATCAATGTATTCGGGACTCATGAATCGGAAATATTAGATGTGATTTACTCCTTCTAACGCTCGACACAATGATCGCGAAATATACTCAAACAAAAGGATTTAGCAACGGCTAGGTGAAAATGATAGGGTGGATCTGCCGGCATAGCTCGTCCATGTCTCTGGCCTACTCTAGGACACATGGTATATTGGTAGTTGCCATTATGGCCAATGATGGCGATGAACTTGAGAACTTAGAGCAAGATGAAGAACTTGCCGGCTTTCGTCTCACAGAGCTAAGAGGGTGGGAGCATATCCGCCAGGCTATTGGAAAATCCAGTAGTATTGCTGAAGTGAAACACTGGGTTGTTTGCTTTGAAAGCATTCCGCTTTTCGCACTCCACGAATGACAAGTTGCAAGTCTAAATTTCCTACCAAAATGGAACGATTGGGCCAATATAGTGATGGCTCAAGCTACTCAATGCTATGCACACATTGATGTAATTATAGATGCAATCCATCATGGCAATATGGAAGATTGGGCCGGTATCTCTGTGCCAGGTAGCGTTGCGTTTTTCGAGCTCCAACTTGACTTCAATTCGTTCTTCTTTTCAATCGGGTTGATACTAGCTATTCTTCTGTCTATGTGCATAGGGATTATTGGGGTGCCATGGGAACCTCCACACAGGAGACTGTTCTGAAAGGGATGTTTACATTGTCGTTTCGCTTGGAATGTGAATATAGCTGTAATTTCCAAATTATTACATGCCTTGAAGCCATACTAACTTACTTATTACCCGAATTAAAAGAACTTTATGGTCAAATACATTGAAATAGCCTCATGTATTTAGTTTGATGCAATTCAAAAGTGCTGAAAATCATAGTACCATCTCAATATATCTGAAGGCCCAACCAACCCAATACAAAGTACCTGCCCCACACAAACCTACGCGGAACCAACATTAGCCGTTTTCTCCATGATATCCGATCATGTACGCAGGTCACCTAGTGTGACAACCTAAAGACTACACACTAAATAAGATCAGAAAGAGCAATTTCTATGTTTCAAATTGAGATACCCAAGTCGTTAGATACACCTCCACATCCGTTCACATTGAAGCAATAATTTGCATTGTGGAAACCTCGAACGAATACCACACGGATGAGTGCGAATGAACGCTTAGGCAGGGTTCTACTAGCCCCCTAGGTCAGACCGGAGGACCTGCTTGCTGTTGCTGCATCGCCGCGGACGATCTTTTCAGGTCCTCAACTCCCTTCAGCACATTCTTTCGTAGCCCGTTGTAGTTAGCCATTCTCATTCAATCAGTCAGTGAACTGATACGATTCGGGTGGGATTCGATTCAGAAGAGTGAAGTCTCGGTGTTCAGCCCGGCCCTCTCCCCAGTATTTCCACCAAGCTGAGAAGTTTTGGCGCCATGTCATCGTTGATTCATCCGTTACAGCACTTGGACCGGCGTAAAATTTAGCTAGACCATGGGTAGGTACTCTTCAAGAGGTACATACCGATGCACCCCTTTCTCCCCTGTCACCTCAGAGAAGGCTGCCGCTATATCCGCGAAACTAAATTCATCTGTTGAAATTTTGAGATTCATCCCCGCGGATTCTGGCAAGTTTTTGAAGAGCCAAAGAGAATCATGTCCAACAACTTCTAGAGCTATGAGAGATATTTTACCAGATTCTGTGCTAAAAGTATCGTCATAGGTAGTCACTAGTAAAGCTCATATCAGGGAAGGTAGTAAGACATACTTGCGGGATTAGCCCAAACAGATGTCCTATCAGGTTCTTGGGTAGGGACAAACATGCCATCCCAGAGCATGTTCATATACGGGCCAGTTGTAAGCACAGAGCTTTTCATGCCAGCCTGACCTTGAGCTAGAATGTAATCTGCAATTCTGCCTTTCGCATCATTATGACCCCAATGGTAATTCTCGTCCCAGTCCGCATGCTTGAGAGCGAAGTCTGTACAAGCATACACATAGTGTTACACTCCGTGGTGCCTCGCGATTTCATAAGCTAGACAGCCGTAAAATAGCTCAATTCTTCTCACCGATGGTAAAGCCATCGGTGTTGACCCATGCCCCGTAGACACCCTTGAAAGCTTTATGCAGATCTTCCTGGTTATCTTGTTTGCCTTCAATCAGGGACACATTAGGAAGTCGTGCAAATTCTTGCGCCCGAGCAGACTATGCGTCTCGCGTAAGCACTCGGACAGAGAACTTTTCGCTCGAGGAGAGGGCTATCACAAGTCAGGTATACACCAAAAGGCCAGGTGAAAAGCTGCTATGACACGCACCTTTGATGACCGGCAGGCCTTGAGCGCCAGTTCCGCCGATAACCAGAATTTCTCTCATCCTATTCCGTGAAAATTGATTATTCCTCAATTGTGTGGGCTAATGCCCAGATGTAATGATAATTGCTTGACCATCCTCAGGATGTGCAGCTGTGCCTGATTTATTCGATTTCTCTAGGACCTTTGTCGGTGACGATTACAGAGTGTTTTGCATGATGATTAATCGTCTTAATCTAAACCTTTTCCCAAAGTTGGAACGATCTCGTCGTGCGAGTGGCATAGACACTCTAATCTTTGATTCATGGTTGTTCAGATTGATTATTTCATCCCACCGACTGTTCGCATGAATAGTAATCACCAAAGTATTCCCAGTGGTTCCACATTAGTGGTGGAACCGGGGACCGAGTCAGAATCGCTATAATCGGTTGACATTAAGGGTATGAGTTGAATCAATCGATCTTGGCATGCTCTTCTAGAAGAAGGGAACGATTGATTATCCACCATGGAGTAGAATCGACGGAGCATCGATGCATACTGTGTATACACAGATAGGCTTCTCTTTTATAAATCATATTTTCATGAAAACTTTCATCAATATTGCCAAAAGTTGACACTTGTGATGGGATAAACCGTCGGGGTGATGACGAGACATTCCCAGTTGCATTGTTTGCCCCCCGCCGAGTCAGTCAAAGCCACAGCCGTATTAATAATCGTCCGAACTTATTCGTAGAACATTCTTTGACAACCCTTATGGCATAGGCTCAAACCTCAGCGATTAAGGTATTAGTAAGAAATATGTGGAACCACCACAAAATATCTGCAACTGTGATTAGTGATATCCCCGAACTATTCGCATCTAATGTCCCCAAATTGCTTCCTCAACCCCACTTTTCGCTTTCCAGCAGATATTGGCATACGATATGATAGGGTAAAACTACAAAAGAATTACGGATGGATTCTTAAACACTACCCGTATCACTGATGAGGTTGAAATGCATAGTGGCAGAGCTTTCGTTCCAATTCGATATTCCGGACAATAGACGTGTGTGTCTTATTGAAATCCACTGTAAAAACTCTACTACTTCATGATTACTTCGAATTTGACCAAAATCTAAAGCTTTTATCGTGAGTTTAATGCTCCTCGTGCTTTGCCAAATTCTGGAGATGTCGACGCACTTTACATGGAATTGTTGTCCAGATAGTCAATACTAGTTTTATGTATAAGGTTAATTTGAAGGGGCGGGTCAACCCGTAATGAACGTTAATCGTTTCATGATTTCATGATTAGTTATCTGGTCCGAAATGTACCTCGGGATATGGTGTACTTTAACATTTCAAATCAGCCTCTGGTTGATAATCATCCTCTTCTAAATATGTAAGCCGTATAGAACATGAAAGCCGTATAGAACAGGATTTCAAAGGTATAAAGGGTATCTGAATTGTGAGATGACAAGGTCTGAAACGGAGACGCAACCAACAAGCTGGCTCGATTATTCCACATATCTTACATCACATCTGTTTCGGTCACACATTTCTTCAGAGCCCCCCTCTTGAGACTATTCCCAAATCCCTACATCTGATCATATCACCATGTCCTCCGATCTCGTCTTTATCACTGGAGCAACTGGTTTCATCGGCAGTGCCGTTGCTATCAAGGCTCTACAAGCTGGCTATAGTCTGCGCATGAGCGTTCGCAAGGAAGAACAGATTCCTAAACTAAAGGCGGTACTCTCTGAGTATGAAGACAGAATCGAATTTGTCATCACCCCGGACATAACCCAGCAGTCTTCCTTTGCCGGAAAGCTAGATGGAGCTAAATATGTGCTGCATATCGCTTCGCCCTTGCCCCATGGAACCAACCCTGAGACATACTTCGGCCCAGCCGTCAAGGGCACCACGGCTCTCCTAAAGGAGGCTGCTAAAGTTAGCACCATTAAGAAGGTGGTTATTACTTCCTCAATTGCCGCTTTGGTACCTATATCGGGTCTTCCCAAGGAAGGGGTCATTAAAGGTGAGCCCTCAGAGCCCGGATGCATTCTTTTGACTTGAAATATTCTGGCTAGATATTGACCGCATCCGACAGAGAACAATGACTGGGACTTGTCAGTCGATCAGACTGCTGACTTTACTGGTGCCAACGACCAAGAAACGAGCATGAAGCTCTACCTTGCATCTAAGCTTCTCGCAAATCAAGCAAGTTGGGACTTCAAGAAGACCGAGAACCCTAGTTTTTCTCTTGTGTCTCTCCACCCTGCCTTTGTGTTTGGACGCAATGCCCTCCAGACCACCGCCGAGGATCTGAGCGGCACTAATGGCCTTTTCTTTCTCACCGTTGCCGGTGGGAAACCCATGATCAATACCACTTCTGTTCATATCGACGATGTTGCCGAGGCCCATGTCAAGGCTTTGGCCGACAATATCCCGGACGGGTCCTCGTACTTGCTCGCTGGGAAGAAGTTCAATTGGAAGGACGTGGCAGAGGTCGTGAAGAAGGAGTACCCGCACCTGGGCTTCAAGATCTCAACCGATATTTCTGGAGAGTCGTCTTGGCCTGTTGATACGACAAAGGCGGAGACAGAATTGGGGATGCAGTGGCGGTCGTTCGAGCAGATGACCAGGGATATTATTGACCAGCAGATCGAGCTGCGCAGTCAAGGTAACCTCTAAGAGGTAAAGAGTGGTAGATCATGCATTATATAATAGTAAATAGGCTGCTTTTTATTCCTACAGGAAGAAACAATACTATATCTTACATCAAAGGGACTATATTGACTAGACATTGGCATAATAGTGCACATACAGTGCAAAAGATGGATTATTTTAAGTCATTATATTATATAAGAAGAAAAGGAAAGCCCCAGAAAACTGTAATAATATAAATACTAATGAATGAATAAATACAAGCTGACCTGACCTGGTCCGATCAGATCTATATTCATTTTAGGTTATATAATCACCCAAAGCGGTTAGCACGGGTCAGGCGAGAAATTAGCATGGGCCAGGTGTGATATCCGATTCCGATATCCGATACGATCCAATCCATGCAGCACATCAAATTCCCCCTTCCATCCATGCAATATATTCCACACTAAACCTCCAAACCAGCCAACCAGCCAGCCATGTTTACCTTCTTCTCCCGATCCCAAACAAGCGGAGGAAAAGGCGGCTGGCAGCGCATCGGTCTAACCTCCGATTTCCCGGACGTAGACTCTCCGGAAAACAATGGTGACTGCCGGGTAACATCGCAATGCAAGGCTTTTACGATCCCGAAGACACCCACACCGGGCGCAAGCTCCGCCCCGGTTGAAGCGGAGATTGATGGTCCGCTTGAGGATCTGAAAGATCAGGTCCTTGTGTTTAAGTATAAAGGAAAAGTTCATGCTATTGATCATGTGAGTCAGAAGAATTAGCTAATTAGCCATCATTGGCATGGTAATTAGTGTAAAATGCTGATGATATGGTATAGCAATGCCCGCATTCCTCGTTCCCACTGTCGCAGGGTAGCCTGTTTGACATTGAGGATTTTGGAATCACGCTGAGTGCGGGGATAACGTGCCCTAAGCATGATTGGTCGTTTGATCTGTTCTCGGGGCAGGCAGATCGGGGCAATTACAAGCTCAAGGTTTGGGAGGTGCAGTTGCGGGATCTGTCTGATCCGAAAGAGGGTGGGGATGATGAGAAGGAGGTTTGGGTGAGACGCAAGCAGCGAATTGGGTAATTGGAGACATTGGTTATTTTTGTTTGTTAGAGCCCCCGTTTAGATTTTGTGGTATGGTTGGCGGCATGGGCACCGCCAGAATGATGCCTGGGCTGGACCCAGGAAACTGCTGCGCCGGAGACTAAAGTGTCCGCTGCAGAAGAATGGATATGTTCGCATATGCTGGGGTTGGGAGCTGCAAGCGAGATCTCCATTCTATAACGTCTGACTAGAATGCTTTTTTAATAGACCACTGCTGAAACTACTCTAGAAGGCTATCCCATTGACTCCAATCTATTAGGGTAGAATCAATAGAACTGGGTTCGTCGACTGTCAACAATCATCAACATCACGACTAGCACAATAAGGGCTCTTCTTCCTCAATACATGCCCAAACTTCCAAATGAATATAACGCCAGTCAGACCAATGCACAGTGCAATGATACCCAGTATGCTTGAGGTCCAGCCATACCCTATCCGTTCATATCTATGACCTTGTTAGCAATGCCACTCTACTTATAGGGAGGAAATACTCACGCATATGGAGAAAACAACGGAAACACAAATCCTGCCAGACACCGGAGCATCGACGTCGCAGCAAGAGCACTAGCAGAGTATCGCCCATACGTATCCACGACATAAATATTATTCGAGACCGTGCAGATGTACGCAGCAGCCGCAAACAGCGCAATGCCAATATCCGGCATCAGCCAGAATATACGAGCTTCCGCACTCCACCCGTACCAGAACAGCCCGATAGACAGGACAACGGTGGCTGGTATCATGATAGGTATGCGAAACTCAGGCAGACCTTTGCCGCCGTTCCGCTTAGTTAAAATTCGGAATATGCGGTCGTTGATGTGGGTTGCTACTTCCGCTGCGAAGGCTGTTCCTAGGCCCAGTGCGAGGTAGTGGAGTGATGCTATGTCTAGCTTCTCGTGGTAGCGGGTTGTCCAGAGGACTGCGATGGAGGAATAGAGAATGTAGATGTTACCGTAGAGATAGCCTTGATACAGTGCCATGACTTGCACTATTGGTTGCGTTGAGAGAAGCTTGATTGGGCGGATCATGATTGTCCGCATCAGTTCAAGCTTAGAGTCGCTTGGGAAGTCATGTTCTGTGTAAAGGCCGGTGGCTCCTTCTTTCATCAGGCGGTCTCTTTTCCTGCGGAGAAGAACGGGCGTGTATGACTCGTCGAGGAAGAGAAGGCCGAAGAGCTGCACGCAGCCGTCTATGATGGACGTTGCGTAGAACGCCCAACGCCATGACGTGCGCTCTGTCAAAAAGCCCCCGGCAATAGGGCCCAAGACTTGTCCCATAAGAGGGAATATGCTGTAGATTGCCATGGCCTTACCGCGATCTTTGGCTTGAAACAGATCTCCGAGAGTTCCAGCTCCGATCTATACTTGAAGCTAAGCATCAACATAAAACAAATACTTTGGGCAATTGGTAACCTACACCAACAGTACAACTCCCAAACAGTCCAGCAAAGAACCGAAAGGCAAGTAATTGCTCAATACTCCTTGCCACACCGCACGCAGTATTGAAGACCAGAAACACAAAGTTGAATGACTGCAGTACCCGTGTCCGTCCCCATATCTCAGACAAGGGACTAATGAACATGGGCCCAATGGCATAGCCAAGGAGAAAGATGGACATAACCATAGGCTTCTGAACCGTCACTGTGACATTGAGTTCTTCAGCAATGGTGTCTATCGCCGGAGAGACAATAGTAGTTGGAAGCGGACTCATCAGAACGAAGCCAGAGATTGAGATCACTGCTAGCCACTTCCGACGAGTAGACCAATTCTTCGGGTTCTCTGGGTCATCAGGCCCGTCCCAGGTGACCTTATAGTCGTTAGTATAATATCATCAATTTGGGCATAGTTTTTGGCGCACTCACAAGTTTATCATCGGCAACGCTATCACTCGCACACTCTTCTTGCTTGACAATTTCTTCATCTTGACCCATTTTTATCTATTCCTTGCGCGCTCGGCTCTCCGTCTAAAACCTGAAAAACATCCGACAGGGAGCTGGCTAAATGAAGACGGAAATGAACGTTGATCGAACAAGTTAGCGTGAGCAAGGGATCTCTGTTCCAGTGATATTTCAATATTTAGCATTCAATTAAATCCCTAAATTTAATGTGCAGAATAAGACGGAATGAAAAGTAGATCTGGCGATGTCATTGTTGTTCGTTCGCGGGTAATGAACTCCGAGCATCGATTTACTCCGTCGGAATGAAAGTGCATGGTCGGAGTTCAACATCCACACTTTCATTCCGATCAGGTTGGTTTTCTTCCTTGAGCAAACCCCACCAATGCCCAATGCATCACTAAGTACTAACTAATACGGACACATCATTGCTTGGAAGGTGGCTCCGCTTGCTTTAAGGTGCTGGACCCCATTTCCAGTAAAGATAATTTAAAAGGTACCAGAGGTGATGTCTTTGGAAGGCCCCGACACGCTTGGAAAACCGGATTCGAAACTGCTCTGGAGGCAAACCTGAGAAATGCTATATCATATTGCAGTCAAAAAGATCTTGACATATTTGAGATGTCACCGGAGAAAGTAGGGTAATTCAAATAGCTTAGAAAGTGCCAACCTCTTGCTCCAAGTCCCATTGGTTTCTATTACGAAGATTCGGGATAGTGTATCTGAGAAGTTAATAATCAATCAGGAGAAACTATCCCCCTAAGTAGTGCGATTGAGAAAATTCCAGGAAATTATCATTGAAAATACTCATATACTGTAGAATCCCCTAATCTATTGCGCCCCAAGGTGTTCCTCGGCACGATTGTACGTTTCCAAACCCCGCTGGGAACGAAATCCTTCTATCGCTCTCCTAATAAGATCTCGGAGGTGGTTATTGTCTACCAAAACACCAAGTGAGATGCCGACATCGTATAGAGACTCAACTTTCTCGAGAAGCTGTTCAGTCTGGTATAATAACTTTGCTCTTTGGTACTGAACGATTCTGTGGGCGTGCTTCGGTGGATTAGGATGTCCCTTGATGGGGTGGTTAGTCCCAGAAGATATATATTAATCAAGAGTATACCCACACGATCACAATGACAGGTATTGTTTGTAGGTCTGCATCTATGCCTCTCCTCTGGACGTTGCCCTTTCTGTTGGTCTTGTGGTTTACCGAAGAACGCCAAATTGGGGTCAAGGATACTGCAGTCGGCTCCAGTAGGAGAGCAAGGCCTATATTTTGGCCCAGGGGTAGTAAGCGATCTGATAATGAACGATATATGCACGATCCTGTTTAGGAAGAAGCTATACGAACTTGAAAAATTGCTCTTCAAGGCTTGATGTCTGCAAATCATATGGTGATTGTTCGATACTTTCCGGTAGTGTGAAGATAGCATCGTCCCATATATTGTGATTGAACCCTTGCACATTGTCTGCCAGGAGGCCTGGAATACTGCAGGCGAATGCAGACAAAGGTCCAACATGGTTCCCCGTTGTCAAGTATGCATACCCGTTATCGTGGGGCTCAGGGTCCGTTATCCGTGACGGCAGATTGGGCGGTGCATCGTGGCTTTTTCCATTGCCAATAGTATTGGCTTGATTGCCTGGAGGATGTGATTGTTTCTGGGCTTTAGCTTTTTCGCCTATCGGAAGATACAAAATTATTAGATGCAACCTTGATAGTTGGAAGAATTCGTATCGACTCACGAAATTTTCGCTGCGCCATGCGGTTTTGGATTCTTTTTCGTTGTGATGGACATGGTTGTAATCTGATCTCTGTCATATTGGGGTCTAGGAATGAGTCCATCGTAGAATTGAAGGGGTAGAGAAGTCAAATCCGCAAGCTATTATTGAGCTTTGAGACTATGGGATTGAATGCAAAAGGTAAGTACAGCCTTGCTGACATTCGTGATGACTCGATATAGCTTACATATTAGCCTTCCTAAGCAGTAGCACCCAGAAATAAATACTCGACGCAGCTGGTGTATAATCTGCTCTTCTTGGCGTAATCATACTAGCGTATTGGAATATTGTAGATCCTATTAGAGCTGGGAAAATAATCCCAATTGTTTGGAGGACGTGCGCGTCATGATTGCTGGATATGAACACAATCGAGGGTGGTTTCGTCTACAATGCCATACACTGTGAAACAAAAAGCACATTCTGCGTCCGCACTTCCTGTGAGATCTCAGATGAAGCTGGTCAGTTTGCAACCACGTTGAGCGGCCAATATGCCTTCATTAGATATACCCATACCACGATTTGGCTTGAAAATTGACGGCAATGGACTAAGCCGAGGTCTACCCTAAATTCAGAACACCCATCAGCCAACTAATATCCCACCCAACAAAAGCAACACCTAGAATCCAAAATTGGCTGAAGCCCCGACAGACATGCTCCTTTGGAAATAGTAGTCATTCCCAAAAGATCGACGAGCATAAAGCAGGAAAGACCAATGTGAGGCGATAAGAACCATCTCTCAATAAGGAGCCGCATACCATTATAAATGCAGGTGGGTAATGAGAATCTCGATATCTCTATCTCCTAGCAATACCGGGGAGAAGTTCTCGCACGTTTTCTCAAATACTATGAGAAAGCTGCCATGATTGGCGCAACTCGAAACTGGGGGGCATTCCAGTTGTTTGCCCAGATCCCTTTCCCGGTTAGATCAGCCAATACTAGAGCGGTCTGGACGGCCAGGACACAGTAGCACATGAAAAAGACCCCACCCACCGCAAGATCAGTATCCTATACGCCTATTTGCGTACTCATTCTGGTGATGGTGGGCAAGACTGAGCGCCTTGCTGAGAAGATCGCGTCAGCCGCTTGGCAGTCTTGCCGTCTGCCCGGTTGATCCTGACAAAGTACTATCTATCAAAGCAGGACCCTTCTCGTTAGTGCAAATTGCAGCGGAGGAACGTTCGACTAGACCTAGTCCATATTAGCCCAATTTTGGTGAATCTAGACTTCGGATTATTCCTACCAACAGGGAAATACCTGGTGCGCCGGTGACTGCCCGCAGCACGTGCCTAAGCAAGATGACCCTGCTCCTCCGCTTCATACGACCCTTGCATTATGCAGCCGGTCCATGGTCGCCAATTTAGTGATCCGGTCGTATTATTCACCATCAGCGGATAGTTAACTAGGCTCCTCGCTATATCAATCTGTCGGTCCAACCCGCCGCTAAAATCGCGCCATTTTATCTCATCTGAAGAGATCCAGATTTGTGCTGATGATTTTCTGCGCACATTAGGAGGTCATCTGAATGAGGGTTTGCCACTTGCTTTGCCCATGCAAGGCAGGTATTTGGAGTCGCATCACACAATTGGAGTTTGGCGCGATGATCGCCCACATGAGCTGAAATAACAAAACCAAAGGATTCTCCGGGTAATTCGACATGAGGTAAGAGGATTCAGGATGGGGGCCAGACAAAAGCGGCAGGAGCGGGGTAGGAGTATAAAGAAATAATTATGTGGCTTTTGTTAGCAAGTGTCTAGGCTAATGTGAACTAAGGGTCCATACTGAGCAAAGTAAACAAGCACTGGCTAAAAGGCTTTGGACATTGCTTGATCCAACCTTCGGCAACAGCGACGGGGACATTTGCATTTCACAGCCGTCCTACGTGGGAAGGTTCGAGTTGAGGTGCTAGTCCGTTCGAAACAAGGGTCTGCGACACTATAATTTATTAGCCTATTTTAGCCTATAGTCGATAGAGTGCTGGAAAGAGGAATCCCCTACGGGTACTTTTGGCAACGCTACAGTTTTGATTGGTATATTTTGCTATGTTATAGATCTACTTCCCTCAGCCTTGGCAAAGTATGACAATTGTACGTAGACGTTTCAAACTCCATTCGAAAACCGCTCATCAATAATGTCGCGTAACTTCCCGCTGCCGGCATTCGTAATCAGATCCTTGCCCTCGATCCATTCAATCTGCAACGGCGCAATGTTCTTCACTTTCCGGTTTTTCTTCCAGGTAGGGCTCTCCTCGCACAAGATCTCTTCAAACGCATTCGCTACGACGGATGCGTTCTCTGGCTCTGGCGCGACAATCCTCAAGACAAGCGCCTGCTCGTGGGTCTCTTTCAGAAGCCGCACAACGAACTGGCTTCCTGAGGCCTTCCCTTGACCAAGGACCCTCACGATCAATTCTCTAAGATAGGCGACAGGTAGATGTGTAGTGGCGATCTTAATGCTGACAGCATCACGTCCGTGGATGTAAAATGTTTCCGCATCGTAATCAACCCAAGAAGCAATATCACCAACAGGGTAGCGAAGCAATGGTTGCTGCCTCTTCAGCAAGCTAGTGATGACCACGTTTCCCCTGACTCCGGGTGTAATGATTGGATTGCCATCCTCGTCCAAAATTTCAAAGATAACTAAGGGCGCCAAGACTTTGTAGATGGGCTTAATGTCGTCATCTTCATTCTTGAAGGGCTGTGCTGGAATGCCCACGTGTCCAAAATCGATACCGCCGTATTCGCGGACATAAATGGTGGCGTTCGGGAAGGCTGCACGGTAAACCGGACGGAGCTCCTTGGTAAAGCATTCGCCCGTGTACAAGATCAGCCGAAGACTGGGAAGAGTCTCGCTAATGGAAGTGAAGTATTCCGCCAGACGACGCGTGGTTGAAACGTTGGCAATGAGGACAGTGGCATCAAATTTCTTCATGTAGTGGGCCATCATGTCAATGGATTCGTTTCCGCTAATAGGCAAGTGCACAATCGGTATAGGAAGTTCGAGTAGCGCTGTATTCAAGAGCATGAAACTCCCATACAGAGAGCCGTGGAAGGACATGTTTGCCACACGGTCGCCAGGGAGGAAGCCACAGCCATGAGCCATCGCATTGGCGGTGACTTTGCCATGAGTTGACAGCTCTTGTTTGGTCATGACAACTTGCTTGGGAGTGCCAGTGGAACCGCCACTGCGCATGACTGTGCCGTCAATCAGAGGCCGAGTCATTACCCCATTGGGATTGGACGTGTTCGCCTTCCAGTATTCGTCGGGGTCGATGACAGGAAGGTCAGTCACACTTTTGGCGCCTGCCGGAACATGTTCAAGAACGCGTTGGTAAAACGGGGAATGGGAACGAGCGAATTCGATGAGTTCGCCGATGTTATCCTTCCGATGAGATGACATTGTGTTTACCATGTGAAATTGGCAGAGGACGGAGCTTTCGTTGATTCGAACGGTGACATATGCCCTCAGGATTGACTGCTCAGGCGACCCCTATATATGTCCCCACTGCTATTACCCCTCTTTCAAGTGCGATATCTCGCTCGCCGTTGTACTATGACATCGCCTTACAAACCCACTTAGAGTTTCGGCGTTCCGATTATTGGCCATAGCATAATGTGGGGGAGCTGGTGACTTTCCCAGTTTACTCCGAGCGTGTGGTTATTACTCCATGAAGACATCGGAGACCCCAGACTCTGTCAGACATTCACCTGAGGCCAAGGTGGTTTGCTCGCACCGCATCGGACTCTTATGGACATGTGCATGGTGCCTTACCACGGCTTAGCCATATTAGGCCATTGTATCAAACCTTGATGCGCCATGTATGACCTTGCAGCGGAGGAAGATTGAAATAGCTACTTCGAGTCCCGCTTCAACGCCGCAGATCTTCTTACGTGCATAGCTGTTTCTTACATGCAGAATTATTTCTTATCTGACGCGTCGCTTTTCTTACATGCATAGAATAAGGCCTCAAGGCTCTGACGTGATTATGGTGAAGCTTTCGGGAAGAAACAGCCCTAAACTGGTGCGAAAAGATAAAAAGCCGACACGTACTTTGCCCGACAGCGGCATAATAAATGAGTGACGATGTACACCCTCATTATACTCGCTACAATTCTCAAACAACTCTAAAGGTTTTTTTGACTGGGCAATATTTCCCACCATACGCAGCCATGACCATTGTCCGCCAGACCGAACACCCAGTAGAGGTTCACGATGCCGGCCTCCCACAGAACAACTGGAGTACACCCGGCCGAGCCGCATACGACTTCCGGTCTGACTTTGTTACCTCCCCGAATATGAGCATGCTCGAATCCATCGTCAATACAACACTTCTCGACGATGAGATGATGGAGGATCCGACCACTAACTATTTCCAGGAGTGGATGGCTCAATTGACAGGCCACGAGAGAGCGCTTCTTACTTATTCGGGGACGATGAGCAATCAGGTGGCACTCCGGACAGCTCTCACCACCCCACCATACTCCATCCTTGCGGACCATCGAAGCCATATCCTCAACATGGAGGCAGGTGGGGCAGCGACTCTTTGTGGCGCTCTGATTCACGGTGTCATTCCAGCAAACGGCCATCATTTGACGCTAGAAGATATCAAAAAGCACTTCATATTCAAGAAGGATATCTGTGAGTGGACTTACATGTTATTACACGTGTTCTAATGTTGAGTGCATAGATGACTGTCCCACCCGCGTTATAAGCCTCGAGAACACACTCTTCGGAACAGTCATGCCCCTCGACGAAATCCGAGATATTTCCGCATGGGCTAAACTTCAAGACCCACCGGTACACATGCATCTTGATGGTGCAAGGCTATGGGAGGCTGTTGTCGCGGGCGCAGGTACTCTTGGTCAATTTTGCGAGTGCTTCGACAGCGTCTCATTATGTTTTACCAAGGGTCTGGGAGCACCCATTGGATCTGTGATCGTGGGGAACACAGAGTTCATAACCAGAGCGAGATGGATGCGTAAGCTTCTCGGTGGTGGACTGCGTCAAACAGGGATAATTTCGGCGCCCATGTGCGTCGCACTCAAGGAAGTGTTCTTGGGGGGGAAGTTGAAACGGTGTCAGGAGAGAGCAAAGTATATTTCCATGATGTGGGAACGTTTAGGTGGGTCTTTGATGAGACCCACGGAGACGAACATGATGTGGATGAATCTCAACGATGGTAAAGTCGACAAGAAAGCATTCCAACGGGTAGCAAAAGAATTGGGGCTCAAGGTGCATGAGAAAGAGCGGTTAGAAGGTCGATTGGTGGTGCATTATCAGATTTCTGACGACGCCATCAAGAAGTTGGAAATTGCGATGAGGGCTGCATTGAATTGTTGAAAATCGGGCCACGTGCCGAAGAATCTTGCAACTGCCACTGTCTTCGGTTGGAAGTACATCTTACATCGAATTATTGTATACATATCTAATCAAGTGCTCCATTTTGTTTATCTGGAAATGGTTACGTGACGCTTTTTTACTTGATTTGTTGTTCAAAGTACTGAGTAAATCTAACTGTAACATCCTCGGCCAAATATATATTACTGTTACGTAGCAGTATCTCCAGTCTTCAATCACTGTAATAGAGGACGGCCATACAGATGTAGTTTGATTATGCGCAGCTGGCTTAGAGAAGGAAGTCCAATTACTAATTTCTTGGTTAATCACGATATTGTCTTAAGGTTTATACTTGTCACTCCATATCAATGCGTAAGTACGGTGGGTAACCCCCACATCTTCCGCTGGAGATGAGGAATCGATCTACTAGCTGACAGAAGGAACGAACATCATCATGCTTGGCATTTGAGTACTCTGGTATGCGCCGATTCGCACATAGAAAAAACAGCAGGATAGGACCTTCTGTTAGAAGACAAGCATCCATCGTGGTAAAGTTTCCTGTCCCTGAAAATAAGGCTTATCTGCCTAGTGGGGTAGTGTCATGTGACCAATTGAAATCAGCCAGTGTATCTGGCGACCGTGAATTTACCTTGTTTCTTACTTGTGGAGCACTGCGGATTGTGCTCGTGTGTTTGCGTCTCCTGAGGTGAAGCAGCTTGGCATTAGGAGCTTGGCATTATCATTTCCAGTCCAAAGGAATAAGCCTTCGCTATACTGCTTCACTCGTGCTGAACTTTGATGAATCTTCCCTTTTTTTGAGGATCCATGGCATTCTGACTTGGGTATTCAATATGAGTTCTCGGCGCTCAGTCTCAACCAGACGCAATGGAAAACCTTGCTCGTGCGAGCCTTGTCGAATTTCGAAGATTCGCTGCGACCACAAAACTCCCGTCTGCGACAGATGTGTCATCCGTCAGAAAGAGAATAGCTGCGTTTATCATCCTGCTCCGATGACCAAACCGCGCGACAGGCCTAAGTCTGGACGGCCGAAAAGGCGGCCCTTGGGCTCCTCGGGCCCGAGATCCCTGCCTGCTCGTGATAACTCACTGAGGGAGAGCATATCTTCGTCATCGACAGCTAGGACCGCTCCTCGCGCAGAAACTCAATTCTTCGGCTCGACAGCCTTCCCAGCAATCATCAGTGACGATCAAAACGTTGTTGGTCGCTATCTGGGGCAGCTCTCCGCCCAGGAATTTTCTTCTGGTCCAGGTTGTCCAAACTACCAAGAGAAGTATACAGAGAAACAGATTTCGGAGGGTACTAAGGTGTTGAATTTGCTGTTCGAATTTCCGGGCTTTGCAGACAGTATTTGCAGATACCTCGAGCTTTCTTATACGTGCATGGTGCCGCATCCATTTATCAAGGCCTGTATCGAATCGATACAAGAAACTATGCAAAGGTTTAAGGGCAATCGCCTAAAGCAACTTGTTGTGACTCTGTTCGCAAATACTGCCAAGCCTTTAGATGCCTTCACAACTCTGCCGGCAGAGGACTATCACACCTTGTTCACTGGGCCTAATATCAGATGGGAGATCATTGGCTTCATCCTTGCCATTCTTGGAGTGTCACTTAAATATGACGTCAATAAACGAAGCAAACCCTCAGAAACATCACAATCTGACCAGAAGCCGGATTTCATCCATCGACTCGCTGAAGGCGTCGATTATTGTACGGCCGTTTGTAACAATTACAACTGTGTTAGCCCCCAAGCATTATGGTTACTTTATGGGAATGCCTGTTTGAAAAATCTGGTCTACGGTGACATGAGTAAGTGGTATCGGATAGACTCGATACTCATTCGTAGGGACAATATACTGATTGTATAGGCTTCCAATTATGGCGCTGCATGGGCGATGTTTCAAGCATGTTCTTCGCGCTCGGACTTCACCAGGAGGAATCCGGACTCGAGGCAACCTATCCTTTCTACCAAGTTGAGTTGAGAAGGAGATATGCAGCCCAAATATATTCAATGGACAAAACAATCAGTACATTCCTCGGCCGCCCGCCCAGAATTTCGGGATCTTACTGCGCCAGTACCATGCCCGCTGATATCGACGACGAGATACTGTTGCTAGAGGGAGACGAACTAGATAATGCATTGCGCGCAGTCGATGCGAACGGCTGGAATATGGATCGAGAATTTCGTGGTGCAACCTGGAGAAGGATAAAGCTAATTATCAGTCAGTTTCGGGAGGAAATACTTGGACTTTGTCTCGGTACGCGACTCTCTATTGGAAATGAGGCTTTGGCAAGGTGGGTACTCTTTGCTCTCAGGTAAGCTCTAGATTATTGATTAGAACTCGATAGGGATATACTGGCTCGACAGGAAGCTGTATGGGACCAGATTCCACAGGAGCTCAAGTACGACGAAACCACTGGATCACAGCACATACCGCCCCCTCAGCGATATGTTGTGATGACTACCTACATGGATCAAAAATACACCTGCTTCTTGTTGCACCGAAAGCTTTTGAACGAGACGCAGTGGACGCGGGAGCCATTGTACAGGATTTCGAGGTCACTGCTGAATACAGTCTTGCAGGTAGTGTCGCTCTCTGATCAGGTATCCAACATGCAGCGAGATATATCCTGGCCTGTAAGTGCTACTGTCTTTATCGTAGACACACAACTGATTTCGTATCAAGATGCTCTATTACGGGCTACCAGGAGCCAGTATCCTGGCAGTGGACCTATTGAAGCACCTGCATCCTTCATTCAATACTTCGAATCCGGAAATCAAGGTGATTCCTCGAGCCGAAGTCATACAAAACCTCGCTGTGTTTGTCTCAAATCTTCAAAGGAGCATCAATCGAAGAGAAGTCAACGGTGAATCTTGCAGACGGGCCCATGGGATCTTGTCCCGGATCTTGGATGAGATAATCGACCCGACAAACGGCCAGTTGGCAGTTTTAGATTTGGAAGTACAGCAAATGCCGAACAGCACACCGTTTCCATTTACTTCTGGAATTGATAGTGACCTCAATATTGATAACTTCTTCAGTCAGATTGGAAACTGGGATTTGGCGCTTGATACTTCGGCCATCGTGCTATAGTTGCCTGGAATGAACAGGCTTACAGAAATACTGTTGTGCCAGTTTGCCAGCCACAGCAGGGAGATACAAGATCCGTGCATACTTACAACCCCATATTGAAACTACGGAGCAGTACGTCAATAATCATTACATTGCTATGTAATATATAGCTTTGTGCCGGTGAGGCTAACGTGTGTTTCAACAGCATTGAAACCGACCAACAATTTCACAAAAGCCCTATAACGACCTCACCCTTAACTCTCGCATCGAGGTTAAGCTGCACCTTCGCACGTAAATTGAGTCGGACTCGAATCTGCAAGCTACCGCTCTTCTCTTCCGTCGGCCACTGCAGATCCGGGTCGTCGATGTTCATGTTCAAGCCACCAGTGGTAATCTCCTTGACGTCGTTCTTGACGCCGCCGGCCTTGTCGCCGGCGCCCTTCAAGTCGCCGAGATCTCCTCCAGGCATCTTTGATTTCGTATCTTGTGGTTGTTTTTGAGAATTGCTTTGATCACCCCCTTGTTCGGTTGGGGCTGTTGTTGGCTCTGTGGGTGGGCTCTCTCCGGCTCCTTGTTGGTCTCCTTCTGGTAAAGCCACTTTTTCTGATGGTGGACTCGAAAGCTTCTTCGAATTCCGTTGCTTGTTGAGTTTTGGTGGTTTTGGTGAGGAGGGCGAAGTTTCTGTTGGGCTTCCTGACGCTCCAGGTGGTTGTTCGCTTCTAAGGTTGTGATGTGTTAGCCACGTGTCTTTATTATATTCTTAACATGAGCGATCTTGACAAAAGTGGGGAGCAAGGGTAAGGCTACCTTGACATGAATTCTTCACACTGACATTGCAATATCTTCTGTATCTCGGTCACCCATATTCCGGGAGTCACAGGAGGACCCTTTTATCCGCGATCAGGCTCGCCGCATTACATGGTATGGATGTAATGGACACTGGTGGGCTTAAGAAATCCACCTATGAATTGGATATCCGCATGATGCCGGTTCCAGCAGAAGTCTTCCGCATCCGGCGAAGGTGCTACTCATTCACACCCTAACTTTGTTGCACCCGCGGCATTCAATATGTCATCCGACGTCGCATCGGCAGTGCCGAGGAGATGGAATGCAGTGAGGGGCTCCGCAGACGGGCCTCACACCGGGGTGACCGAGAATATATGAAAGTCGCAGCAGAACTAGACCTGTTCCCAACAAGAGTCTATGATACTTGCATAGCAACTTTACGCATATTCAAACAACCAGCAAATCAACAGGATATAAGTTGCCCAATATGGTGTTCTCATTAGTTATGATGTCAACATTAGTTCCCACTATCATAGGGCTGAACGAAGCTACGAAGGGTGCTCGAGATCAGGAGGAAAGTCGCAGAGCCGAGTCACGATCACGACGATGTCATCTGGTAGCCACTTGCGAGGAAACCACGGGATCGCCGACGCAAAGACAGCAGGTCCACAATGCTAAAGTGTATCTTGACAAGGACTATAAGGTTCGTTTGACATATACAGTTTCGGGATTTTTGCGTGACAGGTTGCTAAATGTATTAGATTTACATCATCAAACAACCAAGCCCCAGCATGGCCCCATTCAACGGACAGTACTACACCCACCCAGCTTTCGGACAAGACAACTCGGCCGGTCTAATCTCAATGAGCCCGGAAGAGCCGCCCCTCGCGCGGTGGGTATACTTGGACAAGGAGACAAAGCAATTGAGCTATGGCAACAGAAAGGATAGCGAGGAAAACGTGTGCGGTCCGTTCGACTGGACGGAGGACGAACAATACGTCACTTTGGAGGGGAATGAGCGGTGGCTGGCAGTGCGATTGCCAGATGATATCCGGAGGGAGCAAGAGTACGAGGATCTGGGTTTGGATGATGATACGGCTCTGAAGGGTCTTTGGAGGCTATACTTCGATCGCGAGGGCAATAGTCTGGACCTTCCTGAGGGAACAGAGATGATGAAGATCCGTTTGAAACGAGATCCAGTGGAAGAAGAAGAAGAGGATGATTCTTTCTGAGTCAACCAGTGTCCGCAGAATCATGGATAGCAAATGAGTGGTTGCACTGGTCTGGTGGTATGTTGCAAACGGATGGGCCGACTTGGTGTTGCAGTACTCCGTAGCCAGGCTGGGAGGCCGTTTTCGGTAACCCACCGTAGCTACGGAGTCTGTTAGTCATGGCCACAAACAATCCTAGCATTATCTCTAGAATTACTTGAATCTTGATACATTTTCTGCCAGCAGACAATCAAAACAAAAACAAAGTGGTATCACATTAAGCGAGAAACTCTAGTCTCGCCTCAGACCTATCACCCATCATGACTCCACGTTTCATAAATCATTAGAAAGAAAACGTAAATCAGGCTACCTACTCAGTGAATCACCGCGTCGGGATGAAATGCTGCGAATCCTTCTCCTGCTCACTGAACGACTCACGGAACGCAGCAATGGCAGCAATGATCGCGATCGCAATGAAGGCAAGAGAAATGAACGACCAAATAACACCCCAGCACTGCGAAGATCCTCCATATCTCTTAGCGAACTGGCTAGCATCGGACGTGTTGACTTTGCGAAGAATAAGGTCGTCGCACTAAGTGCAGTTAGCACACCACCCCCCATCGAAGCACACACACCGAACACAACAAAGAAAAGAAAAGACTCACAATATCCCAAACACTATAAAGCGCCGACATCACCCCAATAAACAACTATATCCCACATGTCAGTATAACCCACCCTAATACCCAAAATAACCGAAAGGAAAGAAAGGGAACCCTACCACAACCCACTTCAACGCCTCCCCATGGGCAATAAACCAACAAGCGACCAACAACCCCACGGCCAACAAAATCGTAATGATCGTCAACCAATCTCTCCTCGCCCACCAAAGCGTGAGCAAAAAGCACACTCCCAGAACAATACTAGCGACTTTACTCGCGACGATATCAAACCCCGCGAAAATCAACAGCGACCCGATAATCGACGACCCCAGGTATCCAGCCGGTAACGTCACGGCGCTCATCCCTCCTTGCATGTGCGTGACGCCGCCTTCGTGCGGGTCGAGCGAGATGGATTTCACGCGCCCGCCTGTGCAGCAGGCTGTTATGGCGTGGCCGAATTCGTGGAAGGCGATTACTAGCATCTATCCATTCATTTAATCTTTGTGGTTTTGGGGTAAAAAGAGAGTGAAAGAAGGGGTTTACCTTGAACGGCCACAACGACCACCGCACATACGGCAGATTCCAAAGCAGCGCAATAACAACCACATACGCTGCCATCACTCCTAACGTGACTGCCTGGGCGTGTGTAACGCTGAGGTCGCGCTTCATTATATGGTGATCGATGGCCCGTTGGTCGAGGACCATGTACTGAGGTGCCATGGTTGCGATGAACTTAACGAGAGTTGGTTTGAGTTGGACTGTTTGATAAGGCTGGAAATAGCTAGAATAGATATATGCGACAAGACAAATATTCAAAGAAAAGAATGAAGACAAGACAAGGCACCGGCGCATATTTAATAACCTCGTCTCACACACACATGCGACCAGCACTACGCGTTCTACTTGGCGTCGCCCTGTAAATTCCTGCTGCTTCGGGTTTAGTTCGTGGCTGGGGCCGTGGGGTATTTTTAGTACGTCTTTACGTGGCGGTGACTAACCCGGCTGTTTTTTCAATTATTTTAACAATTTAGGTTGCAAAGATTTTGTGAATCACATTGTTAGATATTACTATAGTGTGCATACAATGATTTGAGCTAGTTATGTGTTTTCCGATGTTTCCCATATAGTATTATATGACCAAAAATGTCTTTGGAAGAGTTATATTGCTTTTTTCTCAATTCAGCCTTGTTGATGGGGTACGTAGATATGCGGAGGGGTTTCCACTGTGTCTAATACTATCTTATCCTATCATATTCTGTCGTTTCCAGTCTGCTTAGCGTTCCACACTTTTTCACTGGAATTGATGGTTTCGCCGGCTTGGCGTTTCACCAGCCTCAAATTTTTGTTTGTTGGAATCGGGCAGCGTTTGGTTTATTAGTGTTGGGTTCAGTGTATTTGGTTGATGGGTAGGGACTGTTGATACACTAGAGATAGATACTTTGTAGAAAGTAGAAGAGCATTGTGGGTCTGCAGATCTTGTGTTTTTTTCTGCATGCAATATTGGATGAGTACATTCTAGATCAAATACTAAGCACTTTAAATGGGATAGTATGTAGGTGGACGTCCCCATACAGTCTTTATAAGATAGAGTTGGTCACTGCTGTAGATTTAGTATATCAAACAACTCGCAGAACTAGTACTATTTCTCACTGCTGACCATCTACTACCTCATTCATTTACTCCAACAGAACCACCCATCACACACACACACACACACACACACACACACACACACACACACACACACATGATCCTCTCTCCTAGCAGCATCCTCCCTAACAGTGAATACAAGACCCATCTAGGGCTCCTAACCTTCCCAACGCGTCCCCCAGCGCGTCGCTATTGGTCGCCTTATAAGAGTGGATTTTCGCGATTCCTTTTACATCTCGGTCAGGGAGGGAATCTTATTGGTTTGGGGGATCGTATCTGATTAGACTGATTGATTTT